AAGAAAAAACGAATGAAATATTTAAAGTTACGAAAAATCGTACTGACGTAATACTATTCTACCAACTTAAATTCTATTTTACCGAAAACTATTGTTAGCATTGACTTAAGTCAATGATTGTTAGCGATTTTTATTGTAAATCACCTATTATAAATTTAAAAGCGATCTTATACATTTCATAAATTTTCATGGTTTGTTAAACTATTCCATCATATGGAAAACTATTACGAGTGCTAACATAAGCCATACATCGGTAAGTTAGTTTTTCTTTCGGAAGTTATTCGGCAATACAGTTTTTTCTATACATTTGTGATTTGAACAGGTTCTTGATTTTTAGCATTTAATTTGTTTTTCGGAACCATTGTTATTTCTCAAAACCTAATACCTCGTGTATAGGTACTATCAAAATTATCGGTCTGAATTTCATAAGCACCGAAGTCCGGATTACAATCCAATAATGCATTTCAGGCACTTGTTATCAGCTCATACATAGCTGTAGCTATTAGCATATTCGCTTATTAACGATTTGTCGTCAGAGAACGACTAGCATTTATCTTGCAATTAAATTATAGAGACCGTTACTGGTACTTCAACAACTACTTTAAAACTGTGTCAGTTTGATCAATTAACACATTCCATTCGTAAACCGTAGTTACTAGACCAACATATCATTTAATTTCTATTTGACATACTTAAATTTCGAGTTCTAACGTGAACGGTACTGTACACTAATGTTCGCTTGAGTTTCTGGATTGAGTCCACCTTACCAATATATCGACTCATCCGTAGAACAAAGATATATGTGCAAGACTACTTGTTCTCAGGACATAGTATATTTCGTTCGTTCTTCTTCGCTGTGGATGTCAGATCGACCATTGCTCGATTTTATATTTCCGAAACGAAATAAGATATACTAATTCTCAAAACCTTTACACAGGCCTTAGTTTGAATAACGAAATGATGTATTTATCCTCTTTTCGCTGTATAATCACATCGGACTTTGTTCATCGGATGAGTCGATATCACATGTATTAAGCACAGCCTCCAGTATTCGCCGACTATATCTCCTTCAATATCGTTTTGCGATACTTAAGATTTCAAAGTCGGACATTCGTGTTTTTTTCGGTTCTGGGTTTGCCAACATGGCCAAGATTTCACATTTACCAATCTTCTTCACGCCTGTTTGCAAGTGAAGCCCAATTTTCGCTAACTGTAATATGTCGCACATGAAACCAAATACTGTCGTAACTCAAAAACAATTTGAAAATTTTAAAAAGTATTCAATCGATCTTGTTGCGAATAATGTGATTATTTATATGTATGCATGATACTTAATTATCTATTTATAAATGAGAATATATAATTGGTTTCATACAGTTTTTTTTCTTCTAATCGTGAGAAGAAGAAAAATCCTCCTCAATTCCAGTATTTTGAGTTATGACAGTATTTGGTTTCTTGTGCGATATATTTTTCGTAGTCACATCTACATCGCTGGTCATACTCATAATATATGTTGATTAACTATGACACATATGGACAGGCACTGATTTCGAATACTTCTGCAGATAGTGAGCGATAAAACTGAGTGAAATCGGTCGATCGGCCGCTTTGTTGATGTTGAACGAACTAGCTAAATCGGTCGGTGACGACGAACGGTGCGAGGTGCCGGTAGCGGGGCGGGGACTATTTTCGTCTGGCGGCCACGTTTGGAAAAGGCGTCACGAACCTCTATGGCGATGATGCCATCGGGCGCCGCGACACGCACCGGCCGACTGCCAAAATATCGCTGCACACTCCCGCGATCAACTTTATTTTGGTCATTGTTCGCTGACGGACGTTCTTAACAACTTACCTCACGCCGTGTATTGTCAGATTTTGTGATAGATGAAGCGAGTTTGTACGCGGCGTTTCAAGGACAATTAGCACCCGTGTTTATTCTAAATATTATAGTTTTGGGCGTATACAACAAACATAATTTATTATTATTATTAAATATAATAACATTACCCTTGGCTTTAAGTAGACAACCAATAAAAAACGGAATACACAAATTCAGCTATTTATTGACCTAGTCATAAAGTTCGTTAGTTCTTATCAGTGCTTATCATTAAGAGGTACTATTAAATTATCCATTATCTTATTTGTGTGTATGTGTATGGGAATGAATGAATGAATGATAATTTTTTATTACTCTCACAAGGCTTACTTAAGACTAAAATACAGAGTTTTGTACTATTATGCACATTGTGATAGTCTTTTGTCAGTGCTAGTGTTATATCCCTGTATGACTAATCACCAGGTTCCCTCCCTCTAGGCTAAGGTTAATTACTCCTTTTATTTATTCCAGCTCGGAGAAGCTTTGCAAAAGTTAAGTAGAATAGTAATAACAGTAATAAGAACTTATAAGTAGGTAAGAAAATTCTAAAGACAGACTAAATTGTGTGTCAGTATGTGTAAAGTGAGTGTGTGTGCGTGTGCGTGTATGCGTGCGTGAGTGAGTAAGTGCGTGCGTGCGTGCCTGCGTGCGTGCGTGCGTTCGTGCATATGTGTGTATTCGTGTATATGTGCGTGCGCGCTTTCGTGCGAACGTGCTTGTGTACGTGCCTTCGCCAGTATGTGTCTTGTCAGTACTAAAATGCGTATCGGTATCATTTCAAATCGATGTCCTGACATTAGATTTTGATGTTGACACATCCACACACATCATAGCCCTACGAGTGGTTAGAGGCTTGTTCTTGGAATCGCATGCCAAATCATAGCCCTACGAATGGTTAGAGGCCTGTTCTTGGAATCGCATACCAACTGGCGTGACAGTCATTATGCGCTATGTATGGTAGAAATTAAGAGTAGGTCACTCAGAGTGAGAGACCTGGTTCTCTTTTGGGAGGCAATCCAGTAAAGAAATAATGTTGACGATGGGGTATGAGGAGGGAGATCATTGAAGAGAGGTTACCATAGCCTCCGTTGATGCGTAGTCGAGACTCTTTACGGAAGTTGGTGATTTCAGACTTACAATGATACCTAGTAAGAGAGTAAATTGACAGGCGGTTGTTTAGTTCGTTACAAAGCAGAAAAATCATCTGACGAAGGATTTCCTATAGCCTGTACTTGGGCAGACATCAAACTTTCTGCGGCGACCTGACAGTAACATAGGGTCATAGGTAAAGAGAAGAACTTCTAAGAACTGTTTGAACAACATAAAGTTGTTTTACTGATTTAACCCCAAGGAAACCATAGAGCTTGTCAGTTGGAAAATAGTAAAGTTGAGAAAGAGCAACTTTTATAATGGATCGTTGTGCTCTCTCAAGTTTTAGAAGTACAGTTTTAGCCGCCCCACCCCAATTGGAGATACCAGGCGAATGATAGTAACCTATCAATGACTGACACAATGCGTAATACAACATTTTAAAGATATTAATATCCGCAACATATCTAACGTTCTTGAAGATGTACATGAGTTTTCTTAATTGTGATGAAAATGCATTGATGTGGTGGTGAAAGCCAAGACGATTGTCAATAATAATCCCCAAGTATTTAATGTGGGCGGTGCTATTGAGGTCTGGGCACGAGCATACACCCACTTTCAGCTGCTGATCATTGCAGGCGTGCACCTTTATTTTGAGGGACTCAGAGGTTGGTTGGTCCTGGGGTCCTATGGTAAAAGTCAAGAACTTTGTCTTCTCGATATTTAGTGTGAGTATATTGCGATTGCAAGTTTTTATGAAATCGTCAATTAAAAATTAATTTCTCATAGTCCAACACGAGATAATAAATAAACACACCTAGTGTAGGTATCGTCTCAACTGTTGATAACTGGTGAAAGTCAATCTTTCATTCATATACACTAAAAACAAAGATAAAATTAGATCAACTTCGTGACAGGCACTGGGCGTCACATATTGACGTTTATGATAAAACATGCGAATTAGAATATTCATGGGCGTTGAAAATTGAAACCAGTTTATTAAATGGTGAAAAATGCGTTAACTATTATCTTTACATGTTGGTAACGCGTTCATATGATTTTGTTGTTCTGTTCTGGGATCATAGGCAATGATCAAACTTCGCACCTGTTTTGTTCACGCCGCCAATCACATTGCCTTTTATGTCTCAGATCCTTGTGACAAATGGAAGTATACACGAGAAAGGCTATAATGGTGTTACATACTAATATATACATTGACTTCCTTAATAGTGGGTGGAGTTTGCCTTGCGAATTTGTATCTTAGAGATATAATGTTATTCAAGGTAGATTAAAGGGAATGAGATTAAAATATATTTGTAAATATTAAAATTTTCAAGAATGTCACGGACACAGACATATGTCTGTGGTCACGGACATCTTAAATTCACTCATCTATACATTTTCTAATTTGAATTTTCAGTCGAACGCAAGTATCGCTTGTATATATTTCTTTGCTACTAAATCGGTATCGTTTTTCACAAAACACCGTAGGTCAGTAGAATTTACATTCGTAAAAGTTTGTTTACATCACGTGTAATATTCCTATTAATCTTATCTATGTCGAGTTTCGCTTCTATGCTACTAAATTGGTATCGTTTTTCACAAAACACCGTAGATCAGGAGAATTTACATTCGTAAAAGTTTGTTTACGTCACGTGTAATATTCCTATTAATCTTATCTATGTCTAGTATCGCTTCTATGTATTTCTTTCCTACTAAATTGGTATCGATTTTCACAAAACACCGTAGGTCAGTAATTATAAATTCGTAAAAGTTTGTTTACTGCACGTATAATATTCCTATTAATTTTATCTATGTTGATGATTACGTGACTGTTATCATGGTAGGTAGAGGGACAATGCTTATCTTTACTACGCGTGTTTTGTCGATCGCTATTGGCTCTTTAGCGGCATAGTATTACAACTATGGTTTGTAAAACTGGTAGCGGTGTTCGAACGATCGTTGATTGTATTTCCAGCGATTTTATTGCGTTGTTGTGTGTCGTCAGCGATATCGTGGTACGGGTAGTAGGGTCCGGCGATTGCTAACGTTCGCCTGTCACCAGTGCTGCGCGAGGCCGCTAACAGCTCGACGCGTGGTACAGGCACAGCCACATGAACAATTTTAGTATCGCTAATTGAACAAACATGTCAGTTTATTTACAGTGACGTGGTGTGAAACTGATTTATGGAACTGTAATATTAATGGAAATCTGCCATTGATTTGTACACAGGTGAATAAAACATTAAACTCAGTTTGCGTCCCTTTTAAATAGTCTGGTTACCGTAACGATCCTTGCACTGAACGTTATCGAGCTAATATGTTGGGAATGAGGGATATGTAAGTCTTTTGGGATCTAACTGACATTCGCATACTTCTATTTTGTAGTATTAAATAAACGACAACAAATGATACGTATGTATTATTAATATCTGGCAAAAATCTACTTGTTTCTCGCTTCGTTTGGCAAAGTGTCAAGAAATAATTTTGTGAATAAGAAATGTGAAATTATCAGATTGCATGACATATTTACTCTTCATTACTTGCGTTATAAAATGAGAATAGCAAAGGTTTCTAGTGCTATAATAATAATATAATGTGCCAACTACACCGATTACTCGATTTGAAAGTACGGATTTGTCTGTACTATGAATATATCAGAACAATAAAATTCTCACTCCACACACTACCCAGAACACTCAGGTCAAAACCAGAAACCTGAAAGTTCATTTGTCAAATTGGTTCTACCGGAAATCGAATCCGGGATCTTCTCATCCAGGGCTTTCAGGGCTAACCGTGATCATAAATATATTTAATTACTTCTCCATAATATAATACTCCGACACTTTTGATCTTAGTTGAAATCCCTGTTGAGTTTGGTATGTATGTATAATGTTTTTTGTGTAACAGCTGTATGAAACAACCGGGTAGTCGTTAATGACGTAGGTACAGTATTACAATGTAGGTTTACCGCATGTAATTCTAGATAAACCAAAAGCAGGCCTGTTTTTACATTATAACTGTTGTCGTAAATTTTATAAATGAAATTGGGCATTCACGGTTGAAATTCAGGTTTTTATATTTCACACATTTCAAATACAAAAGAAAATCTCTCCAGGTACGCCTTTGGAGGTAACATTTAGAACACGCAATAAAACTCCTTTTATAGCTTTAATTTTAAACAACAACAGAGAGGACGTACAATCCAATTCGACGACGTTTTATGTAAGTGAATGGTCCAATTGTGTTTATCACTCGCAACAATACGTTCAGTTGAATGACCAACGTAGTAAGGTACATTATTTAATTTTTACTAGCTTTTTACAACTTTCATAATATGTAATATATAAACAAAGTAAAAACAGTTTGACAATATAAAAATTGCAACAGTTTAACATTGATTAAATCACATTTTATGAAATCGGCTCTACTACTCCACAAACCTGTATTATACCAAGAAATTAAAAGAAATGTATGAAAAAAATGACAATCGACTGTTTTTTCTATTTTCAAATAGGCCTCAATCAAAAGAAATGATTGAAACATTTTTATTAAAAAAAACCGACCTCAAAAGTTCGTGTAATGACATGTATTTGCCAAGTTTTACTGAAATCGGTTACCGAGAAGTGCGCAAAACCTGATTCATCATCCCCTAGGTTGCTACCCTTAGAGTTGGAATATTTTCTTGAAATTTAAATGAGACTAATATTGAGATACCATCTTTCCAACAAAAAAGTCAGTCAATCTTCAAAATCGGTTCACAAATTATCCGGAGTTATCGCGTAACATGCATACAAAAAAAAAATACAGTCAAATTGAGAACCTTCTCCTTTTTTTGGAGCCGGTTAAAAATTAACTAACTGCCTAGTTTTTAAGTCTCCATTAATGCCGCTAAATATAGGTAAACTATGTACAGTCGGAAAATATAGAACTATTTACACATAGAATTCAAATGCGGTTAGAAATAATATCGTCTATAATAATAAACTCCTGAAAGACTGTCATAACAACCATTTGGATTGCTTAGGGTTTCGCACTTTCGGCTTAGTATTACATCTTGATCTGTAGTTCATGTCGATCTCGTTATATCAATGAATTAATTTTAAAAAAGACATACCACGATTTATGGAGAACGTTCGCATTTAAAAGCTGAGTAAAATCCAAACGTTCATCCTTTTAATATTAGTGTTATTGTAAAAAAAATACATTGACGATTTGTGCGGAATCAAAGTCAAACTGAAACATACGTGAGCCAATTACACTTGAAATCGTCACATTGATGACGATGATATGATTACTACTACTCATTCGTAAGGCAGATTCCCCTGACAGTAAAAAAAAACATATGTACAAATTTATCATTTACAATATCTTTATTTCAAATATCATAAGATTAAAACAACCTGAAAGAGTTAAACGAGTCACTACTTTGGATTTTTGTCATCCAAGTACGCAGAGGCTGTTAAGTTCTAGTGTAAATAGGAAATTAAACTATTTTTCTTTTGACTTACAGTCAACCGTGATCATGGGACCTGTGAAGGGCCCGAAACGTCGGTTTGTTTAAAAAAAACAAATATACGCGATTTAAATCCGGAACAATAGTTTCATTTCCTATGTGTAACAATCGCGAAAACCTAAGAACTCGTTCTAGTGTAAAGTTTTTGTTTTACTATAGTTTCAAACCTCCTAAATGGCAATTTTGAATATAACCCGGAATATTCTTATAGAAGCGCATACAATACTTAAATAAATTTTTCACTTTGTTAAGACGACTGTCGAAAATAGCCAGTGCAATCTTTCCAGTTAGCACGTTATATAACAATTTGATAGAAAACATTAAATCTTTAAACGTAATCTTTTATTACCCGTACGAAATGAAGGTGCAGCCTTGGCGTTATACGTAAACAAAGTAAATATAGCCTTCATTAAAACCAAAACACCCGCTAAGTACTTTTATATACGCAGTCTACCTTATCCGGTCAATTTTGCGTAGGTACTTCTAATTTTATATATAGATATATGACCTACCTATGTTATGTACCTATTCTATGTTATTTTCATAAGGAACTATATACGGTCTGCTGTTGGGCATGTGTCTACTTAAAGGAAAGAGTCACCATTTTAAAATAAAAGGTGGGGCGATGTACTCCGGCACACACTGCGCCCTGTACAATCTATTGTGAGGTCTTTGGCCTTAGACCGCCACGCTCTTTGCGCTTTGATAATAAAAAAATCACATGTTTAATTTTTGTTTTGGATGTCGAAATAAAATCTTAGATTCGAAAGTTCGAAACCATTTTATTTATCGATGATGACCTGTCGCTGTCGGTTTTGTCTTAAAGGCAACTATGGCCTACAATTTTTTGGACGTCTTTTGCGAAATCCCGTCGACATTGACTCCAAGCCCATAGAATTGCCGGATAAAGAATATTTAAATGATCTGCAACTGTTTTGTGAATTCAGACATCAGTCCACATCTTGTGTCTTAAAGATGGAATAAATTGAAACCAGTGATATGTAAATAATATGTATTTTGTATTAAAAGCTATTAACATTTCATTGTTACCTTAACCAACTTAAAGCTTTCAAGGCATTCATTGCGTTTATGGTATTTGTTCAGAAATAACTGCCACCAACTATCTAGCTACAAATTCAAACAGCTATTTGGTCTATTTTTTGGTTCATTGACTTTAAGTTTCAATTCTCTATTTTGCGTCTGTACAAGCTCCCTCCGATGATGGCGACGCCACCAGTGTCATTTCCATCCGAAAATTTACTTTTCAAAATCTGAATCGCGTGAAAGTTATACGTTTACCAACATTTTAGATTAGTACAATCCTTATAAAGTATGCTAGGAACATCTTAAAACTAAATGTGTCAGACAATTACAGGTTAATACCACTTGCAATTAGTAAAATTGACAACATGATTTAACATCAAAGTTAACATCAAATTGACAACAGGAACAACCAAAAGTATAAATAAAAAATAAAATCCGGAATGTGCGTGAAACCGGATGCGGATTCATCCCCTAGTTTACCACCCTTAGATATATTCATGAAATTTAAATGGGACCACTACTAAGGTAACCCTCTTTCCAACAAAAAAGAATCTTCAAAATCGATTCACAAATTTTCGGAGCTATCGCGATACATACATTAAAAAAACAGTCGAATTAACAACCGCCTTTTTTGAAGTCGGTTAAAATACCCTAATAAATTTGGTTTACTACAACAAACTTCGACTATCTTTATGTAACAAATTGTGCGGTTAAATAATTATTGATACTGGAAATGAAATGTAACCGAGTAATGTACTTGTACGTACTTGGCGTGGCTTATTTACTATTTCCCAAGCCTTTTATTCATCAAAACATTATTAATTATGCATTAGATGAATGTACTCACAACTAGACTAAAAAGAGCTAACATTCGCATACAATAATGTAAACTTCCCGAGGAATTTGTAACCATTTATACTAGTTAGATGTACTGGGCACATAATGCTTTATTGAGAGGATGTCTTAGGAGCTATACAATCGATACACAAAGGATGACCTCGGTCGCCTATTGTGAATAACTTGAACCAACAACGTTGGAAATGTTCCTGAGCTGAACATGATTTAGAGAGACTACATCCGTGTTTGTAACACGCTGCTGTCAAGAGAAACCTGTTTTATCTAAGCCTTTTATTTGTAACGGGAATAGCAAGCTTTGTTTAACTCCCACAAATTTCTGACCATTAACTTGGAAATGCCCGATGCACTGTAGTCTGTCTTTTTTGAAGACGGAGTAAAAGACATTTGTAGGGTTACCAGTTTTCATAAAATTTTATATAGTTATGTAATTGTTGTCGATAGTTTTATCGATAGTTTGTAAAAGACTACAAAATTTTTCATAAGTGACTGAAATGTGTATGTTATGACGTTCTAATGATTACTAATTGTGTTATTGCCTTCTTTATTCTTATTTTGACAGTTGGCCTACTAGTATCGATATCAACTTTTATTCACATTTTAACAAGAATAGCCGGATTTGATTATCCATATTTTAATTAGAATGAAAAACTTTAAAATATGTCTCCTCTTTGTATTTTTCATAAACATAGTTCTAAATACAGTGTATTGTATGAATTTACAAAAATTGACAATCCAAATCAACTTTTGCTCTGTAATTGGGTGAATAATGGATGGGTCGAGAAGGATTCAAAAGAAACAAGGTCAGCTATTTATTCCATAAGCGTGACCAATATTCAGTCGATAGTAGATTGAATATTTATCGACTGCAACCATTAGGTGCTCGCAAGCGGGCAGCACTTGGGCAATGAACTGTCACTTTACTCCTTTTTTTAAAAAAAAGACAGACTATAATACACATAAAGTATAGCCTGAATTAAAAAAAAAACCGCCAGTGTGTTTCCTAACATAATTAATGAAATTGTATACACCAACAAATGCACTTTCACCACACTTATAAAATAACAGAAATAACTATTGGAACTCCTACCCTTTTAAGATTAGCGTAATAAAATTGATTGATACATTCAGTGCGAAATCAAAGTCAAAGTCAAATAGTCTTTATTTCATACGGGAGCAAGTTACTACTAAGCATTTTTCTGTCGTATTATTGTCAGTCTTTCATTGTAATTACTAATAAATAACAGGTTATGAGTATACAACACAATACAATTTATATTAATATATGTGTTTTATGGCTGTATCTTACGACACAGAACATCTTAATTTCCTAAATTAAAACGCGAGATGACACTAACATCCTTGAAGGCCGCATTCCTTAGCAGGATTTCAAATTATACTTAGAATTTAATTTCATATTAACTGTGATAGTAAATTGCTCGGGCGTATTAGCATTAATACTAGAAACACGTGTCTATAGAAGCTCTGTAATCTATCTGAAGTATTTATTGGTCACTGTGGAGGATTTCGGTTTAAATATAATTATAAGTTTTTTTATGTCTGGGTGAAATCCAATAAACCGGATTGATCCACTAATTGCTTCCATTAGAGGTGGAATATTATTTTCAAATTTGAATGGTACGCTTACTAAAGCACCGCTTTTCTAACAAAAAAGAATCATCGAAATCGGTTCACGAATATCGGAGTAATTGCTTAACATACACAAAAGAAATATCGAATTGAGAACCTCTTCTTTTTTTGAAGTCGATTAAAAATAAAGGCACCTTCGTGTCTTGTTTGAAGTGATATTTATATCTCATTTTATGTCTTTCTATTTGATTTATTTCTCTTGGCTGACGTAAAGGGATATAATAACATAATGGCTCTTGTTTCTTTTTACTGTGTCCTTTTATCGTCTGTTATTAAATTATTATACTTGACTGCATGTTTTCTGAGTATAAATTAAATAAATAGCACTATAATTTGCAGTACATCCAATGTGAGGAGAGTGAATGTCCCATTTTTAGTGTCTGTTGGTGACGCCCACGATTGGCCACCGACACCGCTCCGCATCCGTCTCGCGCCCGCAGTGATTGATAAACCCATTTGACATCATTGCCGTGGGAAATATGAACGAAACGCTTTTCGCGTCGTTTGTACAATGGAATTGCCTTGTTACCCTTTTGTTAGCTTGTTTTGGTTCAACTCAATACAGAATGTAATTTTGTTTAGAAGTATAGTCGAAAAAAAAGCGCTTATGAAGAAATTTTACTTTGAGAATTTATTTTTAAACAAATGCCAAATGTTACTTGTAATTAAGATATTAACATATAATAATTATGCAACCATAACAAAATAATTCACGAGTTATTAATATTGTTACGATTACGTCATTGTTATGAATTCAAACAAAGATATATATACTAAATAATGGTTTTTGATTACAAATACAATACAATTATTATTCATTACAATAAATAAAAATAATCTGTAACACAATTTAAATAATTCCATTACGTTTGACTTGACAGTATCGACTTGTTAACGAAGGCCAGAATCATTAAAACAATTACACTTCTCAACCATAATTAATTTGCTTAATCATTACGTAGATTATGAAATTCAACCTTGATCTCAGCGATTAGTAATCCAAAATGTTTTTTCAGACATCTTTTTGTTATTGCAATATAGGAACACTCTTTCTAAAATTCTCTCATTCTTTTAAGGTTGAAAGTGAATTTAAGATCTAAATTGTTTTTTTCTTTTATGATACCATGTAACGGGACATGCCTGCCCATAGTTGTAGAGCTTTTCATCGCACTAAAGGGCATTGCACTGCGCCCATCACATAGACATTGTGTAAGTTGACAAGTCCCATGTGCCCGTAATTTCACCAACACCCCTTACTCTTCAAAACCGGAACGCAGTCATGCTAACATTACTGCTTGGTGACAGATAGAGGAGCTCTACTGCTGCTCATTATGAACCATAAAGTAAAAATTAATTTTAAAATTAGGTAAAAACGTATTTACTGAATTCGTGTATGAAAATATAATATCGCGTGACACGGTCATAGGTGGCGGACGCGCACTATTTTTGCTATTTTCTGTAATGACCAATAGTGACAATGAATAATCCTTAATTGAGGATAATCATTGTGCCGTCCAATCTGTGTCCATCGTGCTATTATAATTAGATATATATTTTTTTCATAAAATTTTCTCGATTGTACTAAAATGGTTTGGAACTGATATGGTAATGCTATTTTTAAAGCTTCCTGTAAAGTAATAAATATAGCATACAATTAAATTTAGTGGTAATTAGACGGTTGCAACTAACTTTATTTATATGGTAGTATTGTGATCGGTTTTTGATAAGAGTGGGAAGTAGTGAATTGCGGGAGGGAGGCGGTTACTGGTGATGTAAGAGCGGCGATGATGTCAGCGCGCCCACGAAGCCCCCGCCGCGACCCCGCACTGCCCCGCAATCGCCATCACTGCTGCGAAGCCTTCCGCAAGTCGCAAATGTATATAAAAAACAATACACTATCACTATATACTTGTACAACCATAGTTTTCTAGCTACACGCATTAACTATCCAGCACTTTTGCAAGTACTAAATTTAAAATCACCAAAAAACTTACCGAGGCCTTGTATAGTGAATTAGTTATGCCAATATTGCGTTAAATTCAATAAACTAACATTGCGCTGGAACCTTAGTAGACTCGTGCCCAAGTGGCCCACACAATGTTTGTCGCAATGCAGTCGAGCGAAGATCTCGTTAAATAGACCGCGACTAATATCGTTTACTTTACCAGCCTTGCATATATGTAATTAGCCATAAATCCTTTTGAAAACCTGACAGCTTTGTGGATTTCTGACCGGAGTAGTTTCTCCTTCTGTGCAAAGAAATGTAAAAACTAAACTGTACCTATGTTAAAAAATGGACCTTAAGGTATTGTAGTGCTACAAACACTATCTCTGATAAGTAGTAGGCTTACGATATATCGTAAACTCTCAGAAGCGTTCAACAAAGATCTCTTAATGCTTTATTCACCTGGCGTTTAATTGGTTTTAGACACGACCTTTATGGAAATGAACTTAACAATATCTTTACTCTACAACTGTATAATACCTAGACTAAAAGGACATTATTTGAAAATGTAGAACGTATACAATCCAACGAGATGACAAGAAAATCATCACAAAATTAGTGACATTTGCAAGTTATCGTTATGCAGTTAAAGTGATTGTGATATTTACGTAAAGTACTAGTAAACAACATGGATTCTAATATACACTAAGTGGAGTGGCGGAGAAGTGAGACAAAATGGAGGGTGCGGTATTGAGTACTCCTAACAATAATAGATTACGAATGCATCTTAAGAATGCGGCTTCTGCTCTCTGCGCGCGTACGCTGCCCAAACAGCGGCGCAGTGAGCCCGCAGCGAGCAGCACCGTTCGCCACCACACGTACCCTCGCACTACGCCAAAGCGGGCCGCCATCTTCTGCCTCCTCGAAGCCCCCTGCGACCAGCCCCAACAAATCAAAACGTTCGAATTACCCGAGCCAAAAGACTGCCATTTCACGGACGTTCACCCCAGTACCGTGTCAAATGGCATTGTCAAATTAAAAGGATCTTTAGCTAGGTAAGTCAAAGTTCATCTTCACTTGTTGCAACCATTTATCATCAACAATCGCAAACGTACTCATATGTGTACTATAAATATAGTACTATAAACCATAATAAAGGTTCATGATGTAGCACTTTTAAAGCTTAAGACTTGTATTCGTGCCGCCCGCGCTCGCGGCCGCGTTTGGGTCAACAACACCAGCATGACATCACTTGTGAGTTGTTTACCCAGGTCGCGGGGTGGAGGTGATGTCGCTAATTATGCCGCCGTACCACTTGTTGATTTAATGCGCATCACTAATTCACTGAGGTGTCTCATTTTTTTGCGTTTCGATCATTGTGATGAATCTGACGAATGTACAACATTTGGGTTTTATGTTTAATCTTTAATATTATTGTAATTAAATACTTCTTGGTATTGTTCGTTTCTCACAATGAGGTTATAGGAAATGTATGAGGTCATCGATTCAAAATGTTAAATAGTTTCTCTTGAAACATAACACCTATATATTTTCAGGTGTAGGTTTGGTTGACGGATTTGCCAAGATATCTGCGGTTGCTCGCAGGTCAATAACCAAAAGCTCGATGCAGTTTTAGTTATAGTCTTCTAAATGTAGCATCCGTTATTCGGGATTATACTCATAAATCTCGAATAGCGGAACCTAAGTAAAAATAGAAATCTGCAGACATTGGCAAATTCAGATACCTACTCTCACTAAACAGTACCAATCATACTATGCTACTATGTATATGCTTATCATTAATAATTATCATTAAAAACAATTTCTATTTAATTCCACTTAAAAGAAAAACATCTTTGTTTAAACAGTATTCACTATTTCATACTCTATCAAATCATTTATAACTACGAGATAAATTGAATTTGAATTATCATTACTGAATGATATGATATCGTAATGTATCATATCATACTGTATGATGATTCATCAATTTACCCCTTGAATTATCATTCCGTTTCATATAATATCGAATGATAATTGATATCTTAACTGCGAACATGATCCCAAAGTACGTAGGCGTCAACGAGAAATTGGATCCCAAACACCGTTACTCGTCCGGAAGTAGAACGCGACTTTATATCTCTACAATACGATTATGTAGAGGTATAAAGTTTGATTAAGTTTGAGTAGCGTTGATATCGATCAACGCTACTCAAACTAATCATTTGAAATTTAATCAAATTCTGTTTCATTAATCAATAATTACGTTTTTGCTATTTAATCATTATAATAATACAGAAATTGGCCTTAAGACAATCACAACCCAATCTCTTTTAAAGAGACAACTTTAAAAGAGATTGTATCAAATATTCGATGTTGTTTAATATCAAATACATACATATTATCATATTTGTTCAATGTGAAATACAGTAAAGTGATGCTTTAATTTCTTGTAATTAAGATCAGCGTTATTTGGCTTTATTAGCTACATTCTGGTACAGTTATAACCCGTTATTGATTGTCTCCATTAGGACCAAACGTAATCCCATAAATATTCTGTCCTTTCCGGGGCGTTCGTATATATGGAAAGGATTGCTGCAGTCGAATTGCTTAGGAAGTCTTGAGTAACTCTTTGCGAATTGTAACGAATTGTAAATGAACAATTAGTCAAATAGGATACAAATGGAGTAAATGCACTCGTATATTTATAAGTAGCGTGCCAAGTTTGAGTGGGACGGCGAAAGTCGTTCTCGCTCGCACACCATGATGTCATGGTATATTTTTGTCAACGCTTGACTGCCTGGGTCGCACGCGCGGTCGTAGTCTTACTACGGTTTAATGTTATCCCTAATCCACTTACAGAGACGATCCTGTAGCATAAAATCTTCTTCAAAGTGATTATTGACATTAACTTAAAGTGATCTATTCGTGCTTTGTTGTTTCATGTCAATTCTCGCTCGAATGCTTTTGAACAAAACTAAGTTCAAAAATCAAGATGCGTATTTAATGGATTATATGTAACATTCCTACTATGATTTAATTGTAAATTTTAACAGTTTAATACAGTTCAAAAGATGAATGAATTCAAAATTGAACGCTTATTTTACTACTCATTCTCCAACCCACTCAATTATTAAATATAGATACAGATCCTAAGTTCGGTATCGTTTATCCAATTTCCTTGCTATCCAAAGGGCATTCATAAAAATAAAATATGACGTAGTCCGTAAAATTGTGTACAAAAAATTTGGCCTGAAACCCTTGGAGTATTTGACTCATTCGTGTCAGGTAGAGCTTTTCGCAGTAACCAGATGATTAAACAGATCTTAGTAATTGCTTCCGGCTGTCTTAAACTGGAGGTAATTGCAATAACCAATTCATCCTCTTCGTTTGAGTTATTGCCAAGTATGATCTCATCTGTCATTTTTACCTCAATCAGTGCAATTGTTGCTTTTCTTTGTTCTTCGGTTTAAGGCAAGATCTTGTAAATCTCGCTGATCTACAGTAAATTATCTTCATGGAATTTCAAATGATTGTATGAATGCGGGTGCGGTCATATCTAATCGCTTCATATATGAGCAACAGTTTGTTGTTGATTCATATGGTTTCTAGTATGTTCACCAATTTTACTTATTGGTAATTTCCATTATTGGCAAAAGTCTCTTTTTTTTTCAATTTCAAGCCTTGATTTTTATTTTCAACGCAAAAAGGAAATAATTGTCAAGCATTTCATCTCTATAGACATTTGTTATTTAAATATTTAGCTGTAACTGCGCAAAATCGTAGGATTGTGTGTTTATGTGGACCGCTTCCTGCCTGGATAATGTTTTGCACTGAACCCTTTGACATTCGCAGAATACTACGCAGCACGCAATATTATTTCAATCAGTGACTCATTAATTTTGGGCTCTGAAGAACCCCGGGACACGTCAAAAGACCTTGACGCATTACTAAAATATTTTGTTTTTGTTATTTCGGAGTATAAATTTTGACGTTACACCGAAAGAACTACGGAAATATCTCTAATTTTTGGAAATTAATTATCACGCCAATTCCGTTGCCTCGTTGCTTTAAAACAATTTCAATGTAGAGTTCTTGCGTTTTCACGATTGGAAATGAAACCCTTTTTTGTTTTACGTATCTAAAACGACGTATGTTTGTTCTTTCAAACAAACGAACGTTTCGGAATCTTTGTAGGAATCAAGCGTGACCTTGGAAACGTCGATTTAAATGAAAAAAAAAATCTGGAGAACCAAATCTGTGTACTTCTTAAAGAATTAATGACACATGACATGATGAAAATAACAATATTTGCCTATTGATACCCCTTGTTATCGATCGGGTCAAGACCGAGAAGTATAGTTTATCAAATTATACAAAACCTACAAACATCTCCAATTGTTGACATCACCCAGATCTGGCCTGTAATTCCCATTGACATAACGTCTATAATTGCCGCCAATTAACAAACCTATTATTCCTTGTTTCCTTTACAGTTTTCCCTTTATTCTAATGGATGTTAATATTAAAACTGTTTTAGTCATGTGCTATAGTTGTTTTTTAATTTGTGAAGTGCAAACTTTGAAAAGAAATCTATGTTCTTGTGATCGCGCTCATCCAAACAAGGATTGTCCCAAGTAAGTTGTAATTACTTTCATCATTAAATTATATTACGATTTCCATCTTCGTTGGTTCTTAAATTAAATTACTTTTATTCTGTTATAATAATAAATAATAATGAATTATTTATTTCAGACAACACTTAAGGTCAATTTTAATATTAGTAGAACTTATCCTAGGTTAAGTACTAACAATGAAATTGGCCTTAGTGCGAGTTTACACGTCATCGGGCAATCAGGCCTATAAGCTACCGCTTTCAGGATGCCGTCACAGCTCCCGCGCATTCTGTTCAACAGCGAGGCAGTTTTCTTTCGCCAGACTGCGTCAAAACCGTCCAAGCGCGCGTCTGCAAAAGCGCGGGAGCTACAACAGCGCGTCCTGAATGCATTATTAAATTGGACTCGTACAGGATTGTACGATTTTTGGGTATATAATTATGAGACCACAAACTTGCCATATACAGTTATGTGCCAAATGTCTTGTTATGAGAATATAATGAGATAGTGACTTGCTTTGCGTAGGGAGGTTTTATTTTTAAGAATGACGTTTGATTCGTCGTACATTACATTGTTAAAAAGTTCATTGTCAGTGTTGCTCCATTAAACACTTATTATGTCTCAAACTTTCAGCGTGAATGTCACGTGGGATCTCGTGATTTTTGAGATCATTTTAAGAATGACGTTTGGATTCATTTGCGCCATTAAAAAGTGCATTTTCGGTGTTACTACAATGAACACCTATTTAGCAAACATTTCTGCATAAGTGTCATGTGGGAACTCGTAATTTTTGTGGCTAGTTATTTTTAATGAGTCTTGGTTCGTCGTATATTGCACTGTTGAAGAGTGTATTCTCAGTATTAATCCAATGTACACCTATTAACAAACAATTAGCTTGAGTTTCACGTGTGAACACGCTAAGTCAGCAAATACCTATCGACTCAACTATGTAATCTGAACCCGTGAGTACCATCCGTCCAGCGATTCATTTTGTCTGGCGTGCATTAGAGACACGTACTCGATGTCTGCATATTCTGCAAATTGTGCATAGTAAATTTCATTCATGCTGTTTTAATTTGTTATTTTTTTAGTTTAATATTGTGGGAAGTGTTTTGGTCATTAAATTTGTTGTACACGGGTATTATAAAAGACCTACCTACAAGTATTGCCTTAATAGCATAAATTAGTAGTGGAATAAGTATAACAAAAACAGGGTGATATGGGTTGAATTTAATGACATTTATAAATAGTATATGTATATATCCATAAATCGTGATATCCGTTGATACCGATGAATAATTAATATTATTTACATAAACAACAATTATGTGTAGTCCGCAAACATCTCACGATCCTTATTTATTAACACATTCATATAATCCATTCAATTTATTCGAACGGACACTAGAGTGGTTTGTGTACTAGGATTTCATTTATCAATCGATAAATAAAATATGCGGAAAACTTACTGTCAGTATTGAAATAGGCTTGACGACTTTTGTCACTTGAATTGTGATTTTGGATTGACAACAATCAATCAAATTTATTATCAATTAATTTATGCTTTACATTGTAAATAACAACAAACGTGTGTGTCTGTGTGCGTATGTGCGCGCGCGAATACGTATAGATTGTGTGTTATCTAATAGTTATTAAAATTTATATCATACTTCGACCATTCTCGATATTTTCGTCAAATTGTAAATAAAACGTACAGTTATAAATTGTTTTCTAATTATCATCAAAACCTTACATTCTTGTCGACCTTTACGATTGTTTTGCTATTTAAAAAAATATGACTACTCACCTAGTGGAAAAAACTGGCGTGTTCTTAATAAATACCCACAGATTTGTTTACGCTACAGGTGTTATTTATTTTCTAACGGAACACTGAATATGAAGACGAGGTTACTCGTTTTCGCTCGTACACGTAGCGCCTACGTCATGGTGCACACGCAACCCGTTTACTTTTGTATTTTCCTACATGATTAGCTAGTAGTAGCGAACGATTGTTTAATTATAACTGCTAGTGATGGAGTAAAATCACATACAAAGTATACTTAATTATCCCTAATTTCTCAAGTGAATTAATACGGAAGGTTTTCTATGAAGTTCTCAGTAGCGCTTAATAAAGTTTCATATTTGTGGTTAGTTCACTGTATTCATTGAGATCATCTTATATTGTAAACAAATTCGCTTAAGGCGAGGCATTTCGCGCGAGCCTAGCTTTTGGTGAGGTGTCCACACACCACCGGTCGCGGAGATCGGCACTCGCGTCCAGCAATCCGCGCGCTGTAAATTAATATGGAGAAAATTTGACACTGATTCGACGTAGACAAGCGCCCGATGGCGACTGACGAGGCAACCGGTTGCACGGCGTGTTGTTACTGCTAGGCAATTTGCAAATTTTGGGATAAATATAAATTTAATAACTATTCTTCAGTTGGAAACCAAAATTTAGCAGGTTCTCTGTAGTACTTAAAGAAAAATATCTCCGTATAAAAATTATGTACAAGGTTAGATATATTATTGTTAAATAATTAGTTTCAAACTTTTATTTTAGCCTGTTTTCTGGATTTTATATGATGGGATAAAATACATCCTATCGTGCAATATATTTGAACATTCTTTAGACAATATCCTTATGTGTATCGTATATTTTTTATGAGACCGTTATAATAGTAAGTACCTAAACCTTCCCGCTTATTCCCAGTCGTCACCACCGACTCCGTTGCCACTGGCGACAAATGAAAAAAAAAAAAACCATATGTTACCAGGTGGTGACAAATAGGATAAATAGATCTGTTGTTGCCACTAGCGACTAATGGAAATTGAAATATCCCAGTAGTTGTCAGTGGAAACAAATGTAATAACAATGCATACTGGACCGGCAGATAGTGTCCAGGCTATCTGAATCATTGTAAATGTCATTATTGCAGTGTACATTTTTGATCAATGTATGTTATTGGAAATATCTGATGTTTAAGACAAACTTTTTAATAAAATCTGTATTTTTATCATTTACCTCGAATTTGATTTAATTCCTTTTCGATGGCGGCAATAAAAACATTAATTGGCATTTTCTATTCCATTTGTTACCACTGGCAACTACTGAGATATTTTAAATTTAATTTGTCGCTAGTGGCAACAACAGATATTTTTATCCGATTTGTCACCACCTGGTAACATATGGGTTTTTTTCCCATTTGCCGCCAGTGGGAACAAAGCCAGTGGTAACGACTGGGAATAATCGAACCATTTGATCTAGCAATACAGTTTTTCCCGCTTGTCCTCCGATGACTCGCCTTATCAGGTGAAATTGTTAGGTGATCAAACCTGCGTTTATTATTAATGAAAAAAATCTATATTAATTTTAATGTATCTTGTTCTCAGGGAGGTGGCGAATGCGTGGGGGTATCGTGTGGGGACGCCCGATGTACCGGCGCCCGCCGAACACTTGCAAAACCTCTTCAACGACATCGAACTATACCCCACTAAGACTCAGGGTAAGGTACATTTTGTATTATTTTGAATAACACGTAAACATACTGAGTTAAGAGTAAATATTTACTTGACATTTGACCAAGATGCAAATATTTACTATTCGACTACTTTGGTGTCCCAACGTTTTCACTGTGGACGCTCGATGAGGAGGTCCCGGGATTGATTCCCGGTAGGAGCAATTTGGGAAATCGACTTCCCTAAATGGGTTACGGTAAGGTATTCATAGTACAGGGAATTTCCTGGTTTGAGACCAGGTAATTAGTGTCAAAAAAACTGCATAGTTTGAAGTGCGTCTGATATATCATTCTACTACACCACTCAAGAAATTGAACAAGTTTTCCGGACTTATATTCACCTAGAAAAAGCTATAGAATCGTTGGCAGGCAACTGATGCACTGGACTGACCACCTTGTCAAAATGGCAGGGAAAAATTGTATGAGGAAGGCACAAGACTGGAAGGAATAGCGTCTGATCTGCTTGTCATAGCTAACGCATTCGCATTTTGGTAACTTATGAGATATTGACACCTATAGTTTTTTTTTTCTTTGAAAAATGTCAATTACACTGATTTGCTTAACAAGAAAACTGAAAGTAAATAAGACATTAAAAAAACCGCTTAAAAGGGGTCGTAGATGTCGTTTCGCTGATTCTAGACATCTTAATAACTCAATTTCGCTTAAAAATGTCGATTACGTTAGTTAAGATTATGAGTTATGATAAGGAGGGCAGATTGGGTGGTTAACGATTGAAGAAGAAATACAAATATGTCTGAGATTGTATTTTGTACCGAAACCAGAAAAATAATTTCGCAAACTGGATACGGATTTCTTGCGGAATACTTTTCAATTTATCGAGAGAAAGAGACATGCTATGAAATTTCAAATATATTATTTAACACCCAACAGACTAAATGGACTGTTAAGTGCACTTATAGAACTATCATGTTTGTAGTGATAAGGAACTTATTGTACGCAGTATTTAACCCTTTTACTGAAACAGCGTTGACCACTTTATGTCGATTTCGATAAATCGAACTGCTAACTTAAACGTGCGTGCGTGCGTGTTATTTGTTACGATGATATGTGAGAGAAGCTATATAATTATAAATTTTAGCGTAGAAGTAATTCACTTTGATCATAATCAAGAGCCAGAAGGAAATGTCTTAGTTTATGTTTGGTCTCATGTATTGATAATGCGTGGCGATGATGATAATGGCATGTTACGCAGTACCCCACATTTTTTTTTACCCCAAATTACGAACCTTGTGTGAAATGCCATGGCTTCGTTATTTGATAACTGTCTATTCATATTTGATAACGGTTTATCGATCGATGGGGCGATAATCCCAAGGTGACGTCACCATCTAGGCTGAATCAACCTTTGCCCAGATCAAAAATGCCCATGTCAATACACTCGTCATAAGATAAGATAAATTTATTTCAATATAACTTAATCTAATACAATACAAGTAAAACAAATGTAAATACAGCTATTATAGTATTCAAATAAGAATTAAGAAGGGAATTTAAATTATACATTCCTCATAGTAAAGCTATACAATTTAACGAAAACTTACAATGAATCATATAGCGATAATAGAACTGCAGCTTTTAGATGAATGTAAAATAGGCTCATTCTGCCGAAGATAAATAACATGTAGACACATTTGAGGTTCAATAACAAAATTTGTTTAAAAATCGATTTAATGTACACAATTGAAGCATTGGGTGAAACAAGGGCGTATAAACGTAAAAGAGATTCGAGAAAATTGAAAATAATGTTTTAATGTCTTATATCTTTTTAATATTTGTAATATGACTCTCATATACTTTATTATTTATATCTTGTATGCTATAGCTAAAAGATTCAGGTGTTATTATTATTTTAAAACAATTACAAACATTTGAAAAAAAAATCCTTGTGTTATCCGCCCTTGTTACACCAAACAGGCAAATTATTAGGGCGTTCGTTCGTTTTATTATTGGTTTTTAAGGAAATAAATTGTAAATCAGTGTTATTTTAAAGATACATTCATCTTTAAAAATATGCGATTACAGGTGGGTATATCAATCACTCAATTTCCAATTAAGTGTTAGGCGATATTTTCATTACAACCATATGAATTAAAACTATGCGTATTCGGTTGTAGTCGCCCGAGCTGCGTTTGGCGCGACGGCAAGCAGTCCGCTTGCAATTACAACGCATTCGGTTGTCACGATTGCATCTGAGTGTGTTGTGACAACACACTATCTTCAGATGCGGTGTTCATGTTTACTTCAAAAACAATACTTTAAAAAACCGAAATGTATCATTATTTTAGACTATATCATATATATATATATATATATATATATATATATATATTATATAAAAAAGTAACAATTCGCATTAAGAAGCTTGACGCACTCTAGGCGATGTGCTTAGCCACAACACGCAAGCACACTAATCGCACGTCAGTTGCCGATATAAATTCACGCTGCGCTGGCTATACGCTAGCTGCACTAGCAGACAGCACTTGTGATGCGATCGCGCCGACTGCATCCCTAGGCTTTTCGACTGCATTACTACTTGTACTACTACTTGTGACTACTACTGACTTAATGTTCCATTTGTGTGTATGTGTCTTGTCAACTTGGTACAAATATAATATTACAATATTAGTCTATGCAAACTGCTCTGTTATGTACAGAGCAGTTTGCATAGACTAATGAATCGATATTTCGCACCCCTCATGGAAGAGTGGCATAAGTGGAGTTACGTCAAACATGTTTATTGCTCCATTAGATACAGAAAAATATAACCCACATCCTCTCCAGATCTTATAACTCTATCTTCAACATTAGTCGCTAGAGTTACAAAAATTGGAGAGACTGTGGGTTATTATATTAATTATATATATTATTCTGTGTCTAATGGAAAAATATACGTTTTTGACATAACTTCACTTATGCCATTATTCCATAAAGGATGCGATTTGGCGATTTGGTACTGTCCACTCTATAAAAAAATACTCTTCCTGTTCCGATTGCTTCTAATTACTGAAACTTGGCTAATCACTCTAGCTGTTACATGGTTAATTTCGTTTTAACCTGAAGTCATTTAATATTTTGTCAACAAGACCTATGGAGTAAACAGCCTATAATAACAACGTAGTGCTTGATTCAAAGCGCCGGTTCTTATTTCTTTAATCATTTGATTAAACAAGGGAGGTTTGATCACTGCTGTAACTAATTTAACATAGCTATCGATATCGCTATAGATTATTTTTTATATGAAAAATAGAATTCCTATCCTATTAGTCCGACTATTAAACGTTTGTAGACAATTTTATGTTACTGTCTTATACTATACTTATTTGACAACTCGGTGGTCTAGCGATTAGCATAGTCGATGCTAGATGAGCAAATCCCGGGTTCGATTCCAGCTAGGACCTATTTGGAAACAAACTTTTTCTAAATTGGGTCTGGTCTGGGTGTTCGGAGTTAATTTCGTTATTCTGCTATAGTAAATTCTCAACTTACAAACCAGAATTTTGAAGAAAAAGAATGTGCCGTCCGGCGTTGAAATAATCTCTTCAAATATCGCACGTTGAAGCCAACACGGTCACTAAACGGAAAAGTAAATTTTCGAGACACGGCCGTTATTGTTCCTGAACATTAAATTATAACTAATTATTAGTGAAGGTATTAAATGTGCGAATATGATACAAGTACAATCAGCGCCAATATTCTTTGAATGGTAAAAAAATATATACACATGAAATTTTGATGAATTTTATCTACATGTATAAAGTGCTAAAACTGAAGTTTATCTTCCGTATAAAAAACTGGCACTTCGAACTAATTACCCAAATAAAATGATACAAAACGTTGTCCAACAATGACCCCACAATAAACAATACAATTAGCGAAGAATTAGGCGGCGATGGTATCTCAAAGCACCATTAATAGCACTGTGATTGCTCCATAGTCATATAAAACAATTTACGGGCTTGTTCACGTAGGTTACGCCTCTTTTGTTGGTTTAACAGCTATAAATCAGCGACATTCATTACCCAAAGATCGCTTAGTTCAGGGCTGTGTAAATTATGTCCCTCGGGTCACTTGTGATCAGTGTTGTCATGTGCGATATATCAAAACGTGGGGAAAAAGGTTAAAAAAAACAGAGATACTTAGTTGGGAGTTTAGAAAAATAACGGTTTTAGTTCGTTACATTTTTGTAAATTACCTATATACGAGTTTTGAGTTTTGCTGTAAAGGCTCAGAAAATATTCTAAATTTACTTTTTCGTTTAGTGACCGTATTGGTTTCAACGTGCGATATTTGAAGAGATTTCAATTCTTTCTTGACAGTAACCTGGTCTCAAAACCGGGGAATTCCCCAAGCACACAGACCAGAAGCAATTTAGAAAATGTTTGTTTCCTTAATTAGTCGTAGCAGGAATCGAATCCAGAATATCTAGCGTCGACTGTGGCCAGCAGTTAAGGCCATCGAATTGTCAAATAAGTAATATATGTACATAATAGTATGTGAAATTATTTAGACCACGGAAAAAATAAAAGAATGGAAATGGCATCAAGCAACATTAGTATCAAAACCGGTGTCGCCACACGCACACATTTGAAAACGGAATCTTACATTAGTACTAAGATAACATAATTTTGATTGTTTATAAATTATTAAACAAAATTAGACAATAATAAAAAACTTTTGGTAAAAAAAATTGAAACTTATTTGAATCTAATAAGGTTTTATTATTACTAGTCACATAAAGCTAAGAATCCTTTGAACATCAACTTCTTGGAACAAAAGCAAAAAGTTGACAATCAACAGATAGGGATGTGACATTTAATTGATTTCGACATTATGTTTCATAACTAGCAGAAAATTGCACTAGGCAGTGCTTTATACTTGCTATAACTAGGGTTAACCACGGAGTTTATGAAAACGACACCTAAAGCAATTTCGTCGAGAACTAGCATAGCTGACTTTTACACCTATAC